TAACCATGGTCAACTACATGAGAGTCCAGCGACATAACCATTATGCCATCTGCTGGTCCCACCCAGAGAATGCTCAACATTTTAACACTAGAAGTACAGGTCTCAAATTATTTAACAATGACAACAGATTTTTGGTAATCAACGTTAAGTCTGAAAAGTTTAAAAGAACAGCTTATAATATAGACAGAAAAATGGTTTGCCATGCATGGCCTTGAATTTTAGAATTTTCCTTAGTTTTCTTCAGGCTAGGTTTTTCTAGTTCCCAGCTACACTGGAGTCAGGTGTGTTACAAGGATAGGGAGCCTCCTCAACACTGAGGGCTCAACCATCCCAGGGAGCGAGGACACGCCCCAGCAGGACTCCTTTGGGGCAGAAGGGAGATTTCCCACCCGGAAGGAGGTGGGAAACATCCAGAAGTGAGACCAGGAATGCTAGTGAGACATGTCCCACGCACAGAGCCATTCCTGGGAACCCATACTGCAGTCACCGTGCCTGCCAACTGGAAAGGGGCCACCCACCGTACCCCTTCCGGAGGGAGACCATCCACGATGCACCTCCTGAGGGGGACCAGCTCCACACGGCCACGCCCACTGTCTGCAGTGACAAGGGGAAGTCTCCTCTCCCTACATCCAGACTTGGTGCACTTCCTGGAGGTCCTTAACACCGGGCCTCTGAAGGAGTACCCCTCCCTACCTGGGTGTACTTGGGAGCCAGAGCCCCCCATCCCCAACTGGGAAGCACCTGTCTCCTTCCTGTTACAGGGAAGCCTGAAAGGACGGGTCAGAACCTCTCGGGCCGTTGACATGAAAGTCAGTGCCCACAGAGGCAGCAGTCTGTCTGCAATGCAGGTCCCGGGGGCAGGAGACAGACCGAGAACCCAGAGGGGCTGTAGTCCCAGGAAAACAGAAGGCAGGGCAGACGTCTGAGTGCCCAAGGCTGGAAGTCCAAGGCCTCAGAAAGGCAGAGAGGGCAAGACAGAAGACAGCCTACACCAGCGGGGGCCACAGAACCGCTGCCTCGGGCTTCCTAGGAGGCCCTGCAGCGAGAGGTCCCAGAAGCCAGTTGCAAGTAGCTCCGAGCCTCAGAGCCCTGCATTACCAGCCAGGGGAGTGCTGTGTGGAACACTTGGATCTTTGGGCACAGGCCTCTAAGGTTAGAGATGCCCTAAGACAGAATGAAGCCACAAACACAAGTATAAGAGAGAAGTTTTTAATTACAAAGATTTTATCAGAGAAACATTCTTTCCCAGAAAGGCAGGGGCAGCCGTCAGAGGACCCTGCCTGGGACAGGGCCAAGCGCTACTTCCCCTGGAAGACCCCGCGGGTCTGTGCTGGAGCTGGCTCTTTGTATTTCATTTCACGGGTTTTTCTTGCCCCTGCCTTCTTCTCCCCAGGTAGGGTGGTGTTACCGGCTGGGGAAGGCACCCGCATGCCGGTGTGGACTGTGAGGGCCTGAGCTGCCATGGGGCCGGTTCTGCCACGTCGTTTACCACCAAGTGGGAGCCGGACACTGCCGACACCGCCGCGGAGAGTTCCCGGGGCACAGGTGTGTGTGTGGGGGTGGCGGCAGCTCTCTAGGTGGCCTCTCCTCTCTAGGCGCCAGGGGTCCAGCTGCAATCTGGTGACGCGATCCCTGTGTCAGGTGTCCCCTCTGTTGGGACACTGGGACTCCCTGCTCATAATGTCTACCTGTAACAGCTACTAAAAGACATCTATTATTTTACTCAGTGATTCTGAGACCACCTGTGATAGGATTACAACCCTCGAGCACATCCTACTCTCAAAATTAAATGCTAGGAGCCTTCACAGACAGCAAAGCGAAACTGAGAAGCAGGCAGGGACGGGAGAGTGGAGTGGCTGAGTGGGGGCCCAGGGCCAAGGACTGACTCTCGCTGAAGGAGTGCGGCTGTAGCCCTCTTTATCATCACACATTTACTCGAGATTTCTAGAGAATTCCTGTCATTTCAGATAGTCACAGGTAAGCAGCTCTGAGACTCCTCCCCGCTGAGAAGTGCCAGAGGCAACAAGCCCCCAGCTTACTGCCTCACAGCTAGGGCCCCCATAATCCAGTCTTCAGCAACCAATTGCAAAGGAATTTCTTTCAAAGAACAGAATGCATTTCTTAGAGGGAAGAGATTTACAATTTAAGTGCATATTTTTAAGTTCCCATTTAATTGCTATAGACAATTTTGTTGTGCAGTTTTCAATGGCTGTTCTCAGCCGTCGCCATTACTGCTAAGCACGGGCTTCCGGGCTTCCGTACACAGGATATTTTTCCTTAAGGCAACTGCTGAAAATTGCTAGGAACAAGCCCAGGTGGGGAAGCCACCCTCGCTCTGCTGCCCGCAGTGGTGACTCCATCCTATTCTGGATGATCTTGTCCTACAGGCTCGGCAGCAGACAGGGCCAGGAAGCTTACGTGTTATTTTCCCGTGTTTTTGTTTTATTTCTAGCTGTAACAAAATCCCAAAGGCAGTTCTTTCCTCTTTTTTTTTAAGCTTTCCTGCAGGGTACATGGGCTTGTCAGAGACAAGAGACAGAAACAGAGAGAGGGAGAGAGCAAGAGAGAGCAAGCAAGAAATCACCTCGCAGTGGGGATGGCCACGCTGCAATCCCTTCTCCATTCTCCGGGGATCTTGGGCACGTATGCGCGTGCTCCTGGAGTGATTTTCAAGCCACGGAGTCTAACAGCTGTGTGGGGTCCCGGGCTTAGCCTCAAGGTCACTTGCTGGCCATAAAGGAATCATAAAAGCTTTTCTCTAAACTGCTAATGAGTTACTCTTGACCCCGGCCTTCCCACGGGTTGGAACAAATCCAGAGAGGCGTGTCCAGCCTCCCCCACTCTGTGGCTCTTCGGTGGACACAGTGATCTCCCACTTTTCTTATGTGGATGTTTTTCATTTTGTTTGGTGTAGTTTCTTTCCCCTCTCATTGTTTCAAAAGGCTTTAAAAATGTCCTTTCTGTGTGCCTTTCTCCTCCTCGGGGTGCAAACCTGCCACACGCCTGGCTGCGACCCTCTGGAGCTGGCTAGTAGGGACTGACTGCTCCGTGTGCCCGTTCGGCAGCTGGAGGGCTACCTCAATTCCTGCTCCTTCCCTGGCCCGTCCAGTGGAACGCGACTGTCACTGGTTAACGTGCCCGATGTCACAGGCTACCCTCTCTCGGGTTAGGGCTCTGTCAAGGTTTATCCCACTTTCCCAGGGGTCTAGGGTTAGGATGTTTCCCGTCCTTCCTCTCCACTGTCTCTCATTTTGAGTGCCTAGAACAGAGATTTTCCTGGTTCGATCCTCGAGCTGGGCCTAAATTCCAGCCGAGCGAACCACTCACACAGCACCAACCCAATCGTGTGCACCTGGAGTCTGGTTGTTGTCTGGTGGTCGTTTCCTACCTCCTCTTTCTCGCTTCCAAAAACTTTTTTGAGAGTGAGACATTTTTGCTATAGGCCATGTGTGCTCACCAGAGAGACAGAAAGCGAGAAATCACTCCCACCCCAAACTGGGGCGGGAGGGGCGGGGGAAGGCCACACAATGCCTTCTCCTCCATTCTCTTCTCAGGACTTTGGGCAGGCATGCATGCACACGTGCCCAGCATGTTTCAAGCCACCAGGTCTGGGACTCGAACCACAGTCAACCATGCTGGAGTCCAGTGCCTTAACCACGACGCCACCTCTAAAAACCGTAAAAGTCCACACTGGTTCTGTCTGGAGTCTCTCGCCTTTACCTGAGACTCCTCGAGTCCTGGCAATTCTCTGCTGAGCAGAACTCTGCTATTGGCTTCTTTTCCCTGGGCACAAGGGGCCCTTAAGGGCATCTTGGCGGTAGCCAGAGCTGAAACACCTAGAGACCAGGCCGACGGTGGCAGTAAGATGGAGCATGCTCCGTTACCAGCTCAGTGTTTCGGAGCGTGCAACACACAGACATACGTTTTTAAAACGCAGGATTTGGCTGAGCTGTGTCTGCATTATCTTTAACCAAAACCTTTAACACACTGTACGTGGAAGTACTCTAAACTAAAAGTGATGAAAGGGCACAACAACTAACCCACCACTTACTCCTGGATTCAAAATAAAACAGCCATGAGGACCAGCAGATGGCGCAACAGTCACATCACTGGACTCCTACATAGTGACCACGGTTTGAGTCCTGGACCTGGCAGGTTAAAACTCAAGCCAGGTGTATGTGCATGTGTGCCCCAAATCCCAAGAGGATGGAGAAGGGACTGTGGCGTGGTCATCCATCCTGGGGGGTGATTTCTCACTGTCTCTCTCTGTTGAGTGCACATGCCCTATAGTAAACATCTCTTAAAATCAATCAATCCGTCAAAGACAGATTAGGACATGAGAGAGACTTTAATTTGGACTGTATGTTAAAGGCTTTGTATCACTGTCAAAAAAATTTTTTTTTTCATTTTTAATTGCCAGAGGGTACCTGTGTTCACCAGAGCGAGTTGGAGACAGAGGGGAAAAGCACTCCTCAAAGGGACATGGTCATGCCACAATCCACTCTCCACTTCCCTGTCCTGTTGGGGACTGGGGCACGCAAGCCCATGTGCCCAGTGGGTTTTTCAAGCCACTGGGCCAGGATTAAACCAAAGTTGGCTGCGTGGGCTCTGACTCCCTCGGCCGCTGGGCTGCAGGGCTGGCCTGAACACCAAACTTCTCGAGCGTGGCTCCTGTGCGGCTGCAATAGGAAAACGTCCTTATGTGAAGTGCTATGGTGCACATGAGCTACTCTCAAAGGGCTCAGGGAAAAGTTTACCGATCTAGCTACAGAGAACGAGGAACACGCACACACCCAGAGCGGGCAGTGAACTGCAAAAAGCCAGGTGGTAGGTAAATGGGTATTCACTGTATTATTCACGCATTTTTTTCTGCAGCGGTGAAATTTTTCAATATAAAAAGTTGGGTGAAACCAAGAAAGTGTAAAAAATAAAATGCACAGCAACTACCCTAAATGGTTTTTGAAAGGAAAAGGCAGAGAAGAGAAGGACACATTTACAAATAGGGTCTGAAACAAAACACAAATACCTTTTATTTATAGGATATCATTTTACATCGATTCCATTAAAACCGGAAACCAGTTTGCTGTGGTCACGCTGGTGGCGTCACAGGACCCGACGCCTGGGCGAGTGTGATGCGGACACTGGGGACACGAAGCGTTCACAGTCACAGGGCAGCTGCCGCTCGTCACACACGGACTTCCGGAGCGCGTTTACGAGAAGAAGCAACCCACGTCTGGTGTCAGTTACAGACGCCCGACATTTCAGTTGGTCACTGACTTCTATACATTTATTGTACAACACATGAAAGAAGAGAGGATAAGGCTCACAGAGGTATTTTAGCAGTCGTAAGAATCAAAACCAAGGGCACAAACTAACTTTTAAAGCTTTCTGTAAAACTTCCAATGCACGGTTAGAACGGAGGCCGAGCGGCAGACGTCTGCTGTCAGACCGGAATCGAGAGGTTTAAGTCAGGTTTACAGAAAAATTAGAGTTCATGCTTCAGAAAAGGTGCACGTGACCTGACAGTGGGTGTTTGTGGCAAATCAAACGACGACATTCTGACCTACCGCAGCGGCAGACACCTCGAAGTCGTTCCGTTATGACGGGTACCGCGGTGCGGAGTTCAAAACGCAACGGAAAGGGAGGGGGTGTAGACTTCGGTACTGAAGGAGAACCAGAGAAGGCACCCTAATTCATCTGACATCAGCAGTAAGTGCTCGAGGGCTGAGCAATGCCGTGTAAATTAGGGATGTTTTTAAGACAAAGTAAGCTATTACCCTCTGACCCCCTTTTTCCCTCTCTCTTTACCTGGGTTTCTGTCCTTTCATTAAAATGTTCACTGTGGATTAACGTTCTATCTCCCCATCATAACAATTTTTTTATTTTAGGATTGACTATGCTTGTTAAAAAATTCTTGCGATTCTAAGTCTAAAACTTCATCTGTATTTTCTTTTAACGAAATTACAGTTGATCAAATTTATGAACTATTGCCTGTAAAGTGCGATTTTTTAGAACTCTGAGGGGAGTACTTTTGAAAATGAATCAATTCTCCAAAATCCACACCTCTTGACGGCCAGTTACCATGGTAACACATCCGTAAGAGCCCCTTCCAACAGCTCCATGGCTACCTGCTGCTCGCCACGGCCGTTTCTGTTCTTTTGGGATATTAATTATGCAAACTGGTATTAATTTGTATGGTTAAAGTGAAAGTACAAAGAAGGAATGGCTAAGTATGCTTAATCACTACGGTTTTCTAAACTTCTGGTTTATTTCACAGCAAACCAAACCTTTTTATTTGGTAGAAAAAGGGAAGTAGTTGCGTTTTACCATACCATGATTTTGTATATGCACACACACCGTATATACATACAAAATTTCTGTCTTTGGTGGTTCAGTTAGGGAAAAAAAAAATAGTATGAAAATCTGAACACTGTTTGCAAAGAAACTGCAAAAGAGTAGTCGAGAGTAGCATTGTCTGTGTGCTTTCTCATTGAACGCACTGAGCGCTTCGCGTGGAACTAGAAGGTTTTTTTGGCCAGATTCTGAGCTGACCCAAGCCTCCTCCACTCATCGCGCGCTCAGGCGTGGGCGCTGCTGACGAGTACGGCACTCACTTGTTCAGATGCACCATTAGCTCTCACTTGGTTAAATCATTAGACTTTTGTGTTTTCAAAACACTTTAGGGACTGAGTCAGTCATTCAATATAGCACCAGATAGTTGGGGTGAGACATGTTACCTATGCACTTCCTCAAGAAGGGTAAGGCAAAAAGAAAAATAAGATCTCAAGTACAACCTAAGAATACCATCCTGTTTACTCAAGTTTCCTCATCCACATAAATAATGGCTGTCACCCTCCTGCAAATGACTCAGGTGACGGTGAGTGGCCCCTGAGGAAGGGCCTAGCGTGAGACAGGGTGAGCTCGGCACTGGTGGTTTCACGTCCACTGCCTGCAATGAACACGCGGCCAGGGGAAGCCCAGCGGGGTGCAGACGAGGAGAGCAGAGCGGGGCAGGACACCTCTCGCTCACAGTACAGTTCTTGTTCCCACACTAGAAACTCTGACACCATGAAAGCGTAACTAAAAATCCGAGCCGCAGCTAAAAGTGCTCTGCATTCATAAACTGCCAGCGAGCCAGCAGACTTGCTTGCAGCAGGCAAAATGAACTGAACTTAGAAGGGCATAGAGAACACAAGCAGACCAGACTCCGGCTAGAATGCTGCAAAAGGAACAGAAAACTAACAAGATTTAAATCCCATTAAAAAAAAGGAAGGTGCCGTTTTAATTTGTTCATTTGTACCTAAATTCAAGCTGCTACAGCTTTCACATTTAAAAAACAAAACAAAGAAAAAAAACTAGGCCTTGCATGGTGGAAATGGAAATGATTTGTGGCATGTTACACGTCTGTCTGTTCAAATAATTATAATTTCCATCATTTTAAAATGCTAATATTGTCAGACAAACAAACTGATATTTGGCATATGCCTCTGAAAAGTTAGGACTTCCATCTCGTTTTAAACGTTGGCCTCTTAAATGGAAAGGTTAGTTCTGGCGATGGTTGCTCGTGGGAACAGCTGCTTGGTCTTGTTTTCTGAAATGCTACATTTGAGACCAAATAAAGTATAATTAGTTCATTTGAAAAAAGGGACTAGAAATATGCCACAAAATTATTTTTACAATACATTTTTGCAGAAATAATCTCTAGGTGAAGCTTTTTTCTTTTTATACACATATACAAAATTTAAACAGCAATATACACATAATCACAGTGAGGACGCTGGCAAAGTCACCAATCTGTAGTGTGAATACAAACTGCAAAGCAGCCTTCCAAGAGAACAATGCTACACAGCAAGCAGAGCTGGCCCATTCCATAGCAAACACCAACACGTCCCTGCAGGAGGGAGACAGTGCAAGAAAGCAGCATGCGCTTTGATACGAACAGCAATTTATGGCTAATGGGTGACAGAACTGGTAACAGTGACTCTCGCGCTGCTATGCATAAAGTCCTAGGACATCTGTTTGTCTTTATACCACTCCACAAATTCGTCCAACAAAACCGGCCCTGGAGAGGGAGAGAGAGAGAGAGAAACGGCATGGCTCGGAGGCTCTTCCAGGAGGAGGACGCACCGACCACAGGGAGGGAGGGAGGTACTCACACGCGCCGTCTTCGTCGTAGTTGCTGAGGTCCAGATGAATTGTCCTGCTG